AGAAGCAGCAGTCAAGAAATCAAACGACATATTGCATTAGGCAAAACGGTTGCACAAGACTTTTTTAAAGTGTTGAAGAGGAAAGATGTCAGCTTGAGGTTTAAGGTGCATCTGACCCAAGTCATGGTATTTTCAATAACCTCATATGCATGTGAAAGCTGGAAGACCATAGAAGAATTGATGCATTTGAGTTATGGTGTTGGAGGAGAATATTGAAAATGCCATGGGCTGCCAAAAGAACCAATAGATCCATATTGGAAGAAGTGCAGCCAGAGTGCTCCTTAGAGGCCAAGATGGCCTTCATCTCTCATACTTTGGACATATTGTCAGGAGGGACCAGTTTCTGGAGAAGGAGATTATGTTTGGTAAGGTGGAGGGTCAGAGAAAAAGAGGAAGACTCCCAACGAGATGGACTGGCCAAGTGGCAGCATCGATGGACTCAAGCATTGCAACAGTAGTGAGGTTGGCCCAGGATCGGACAGTGTTTCGTTCTGCTGTGCATAAGGTCACTATGGTCGGTACCGACTCAATGGCACCTAAGAAAAACAACAACATACAGGACCATGATTATGTGATTGTGGTCCTTGGAATTCATTCAGTATCAGAGGCACCATATAAGACGGTGAAAAGAAAGAAAACAGGGTAGGGCTGGAATTGACAGCAAATGTGGTCCTGATGAGGTTGCTGAGAAGGTTATTAATGTATCACTTCTCTCTTCAACATTGATGATAGACCAAGCTGGTCAATCATGACCATTTTTTCCCAATGAGCTTAGACCCAAACTCAGAATCCTTCACAATATCATTCCAATTAATTTAAGATGGTATGCTACTCAAAAATGTTTGCTTGAGAATTTCACATATGAACATTACTTATAAAATTATACAATTTATAAAAAAGAGCAACTGGATTACCAAAGTATCTTTTTAATTTCTATTTTCATTTTTAGGTATCCTGTATTCTCTTGTTGCTGTTTTTAAGTGTCGTCGAGTCGGTTCTTACCCATAGCGACCCTGCACAGGGTTTCCCAGGAGTGGCTGGTGAACTTGAACTGCTGACCTTGCAGTTCAGCTTTGCAGTCTTGCACATTAACCCACAGAGCCACACCAGGATTGTATTCTCTTAAGATAGGTATATTTCACAGGATTTCTAGTGGTTCTAATTGATATTGCACAAGCCACCATTACTCATCAATTATACCTGAAACAGAACAATTACAGAGCTATGTTGTTGTTAAATCCCACTAAGTTGGTTCTACAACAGAACAAAACACTGCCTGCCTGGTACTGTACCATCCTCACAATTGTTGCTATCTTTGAGTCCATTGTTGCAGTCACTGTGTCAATCCATCTCCTTGAGGGTCTTCCTCTTTTTCACTGACCCTCTACCAAGCATGACATCCTTCTTCAGGAACAGACTCCTCCTGATAACATGTCCAAATTACATGAGACAAAGTCTCCCCATTCTCTCTTCTAAGGAACAATCCAGCTGTACTTGTAAGAACAGATTTGTTCGTTATTCTGGCAGTCCGTGGTATATGTAATATTCCTTGCCAACACTGTCCAGAATTCACATGCACCTGGGGCATATGAAAATGCCATGGCTTGGGTCAGGTACACCTTAGTCCTCAAACTAACATCTTTTGTAGATTTGTCCAACATAATCTGTTGCTTGATCTCTTAACTATTGCTTCCATGAGCATTGAATGGGGCTCCAAGAAAATGAAGGTCTTGACAACTTTAATCTCTTTTTTGTTTATCATGAAATTCTTTATTAGTCCAGTTACAAGAATTTTGTTTCCTTTACATTGAGTTGTAATCCATACTGAAGACTGTAGTCTTTGAGCTTCATAAGCAAATGCTTCAAGTCTTCCCTTTCACCAAGCGAGGTTGTGTCATCTGCATATAGCAGGATGCCACTTTCTTCAGATAATCCAGTTTCTTGGATGACTGAATAAGTAGGGTAAAAGGATACAACCTTGAGGCACCCTTTCCCTGATTTTAAACCAGGCGCCTCTTGGTCTGTGTACAAATTCTGTAAAGAGCACAATTATGTATCCTGGAATTCCTATTCTTACAATGTTATCCAAACTTCATTCTGATCCACACAATTATATGCCCTTGCATAGACAATAAAACACAGGTAAACATCTTTCTAGGGGCTCTGGTTGTATAGTGGACTGCTAACTGCAAGGTAAGCAGTTCAAATCCACCAGTTGCTCCATGGGGGGAAAATGACACTTTCAGGGTCACTGTAAGTCAAAAACAGACTCAACCACATGCAACAACATACAGTTTTCTGGTATTCTCTGTATCCAACCAATATCCTCATGACATGAGCAATGGATATCCCTCTTCCAAATCTGGCTTGAATTTCTGGCAGCTCCCTGTCAAGGTAGTGAGTGCTACAACCAGTTGTTTTTTAAAAATTATCTTTAGTAAAAATTTTACTTGCATGTGATATTAATGATATTGTTTGATAATTTGTGTATTCTGTTGGGTCACTTTTCTTTGAAATGGGCACAGATATGTTTCACTTCCAGTCTGTAGTCTTCCAAACTTCTTGGTATAGACAAGTAACAGTCTCCAGTGATGTATCAGTTCAGTGAAATATTTCAACTGGTATTCTATCAATTCCTGAAGCCTTGTATTTAGCCAATTCCTCCAGTACAGCTTGGACTTCTTCCTTCAGTACCATCAGGTCTTGAAATGACTAAACACTGACCAAATCTTTTTGGTACCGTCACTCTATGTATTTCTTTCATCTTCTTTTAATGCTTCCTGAATCACCCAATATTTAAGAAATGATATCAAGTTAACAAATATATTTATATTTATCCACAAATGCCAAAGTCAGGTACATATACATCTTAGAATGACTGCTGCTTTTTCAAAAGAATGGAAAAACAAGCTTCTTACCTCTCTTCTGGAGTATCTACATGAAATGTTCTCTCTATCACTGTGGTCCACTGGAGACATCTGATAATAAATGTGTTTGGCTTTGGTCGTTCTGTTTTCATTAACTGGCATTCTAGAAATAAAATAAAAGGTCTCTTTAAATATATGCATATATTTAAATCAAGAATAGCTGAAACTATAGATTTCGATTATAACTAAAACCCACGGCCGCCTCACAACTTTCTATGGCTCTCTATTCAAGGTTTTGCAAAAATCTCGGTGTTCTTTTTAATTCCCTTGGCCCATTCCAATCACATGATCTACTAATCAACCAAACCAGACTGCTTCATTTTCCCCTAACACATCTGGCTCTTTCTTGTATTTTTACCTTTGCTACAGCAGGTCTCACAATCTGGAATGGCTTCTGTTTCTTCTCTCCTTAGCCATATGCAATCACCAACAGTCAAAACAATATCTATCTTTTAAGGTTCAAGTCAAATTCTATCACTGCAGGATAGCAACCTGGACCACAAGGTTGGTTTGAACAGCAAGGTTGGTGGTTCAAATTCTGCTCCTTGAAAACCCTACACAGGTCCCTATAAGTCTGAACTGATCTGACAGTACTAATAACAGTCTTAAAATGAACACTTCTTCCTCTATAGTCTTATTACTTGTTACTGAAGTGCTCATTTTAAATAACATAGATTGGCATGTTATTATATACTATTTTAAAAAGGTATACTTTCCCCTACCTAGATTATAAGTCTTTCAGGCTAAAAACTGCCTTTAATAAATTCATGTAGTAGTTAGCTCATATGTGAAACAATTGAGATTTCAATAAATGCTGGCTATTATTATTAGGTGGACATACACGTTTTTTAAAGGCTAGGTAGTATTGGACAACAAGACAAAGAAGGGCAGAGGTGTCTACTGACACTCTTGTACTGAAAGAAACTAATTTACCATGAGTTGGCAAAAACAAGTCTTATCTCAGTTCTTACTTATTTTGTCCTCTTTCTAACATTAGCTACTATCAGCTACCATTTCCATGTCTTTTGAATACCAGTCATTATTCACATTGGATTAGTTCTTTATACTGAAAGATTCTGTTCACCTAAAGGTCTCTCTTTAGCATTCTCTTTTCATACCACCCACACATTGTTAAAATGATATTTTTAGTCATCATTCTTTCAGCATACAAATCAAAATCTAAATTTCTTTTTATCTTTAATATCTCTTTTAAGACACAATATAGTGGCAATTTCTACCTAGTTAAAATATTGGTACCACACTCAAAACCAAACAGTATCATTCCACCTAAAAACTAATTCTTTCTCCTGGCTTCCCTAATTTTTCCTTCACCCAGATTGAAAAAAATAGACTGATCTTCCATGTTCGTATCTGTACAATTTGACATTACCTGGTTTTCCACTGATACATTTTATTTCAGACTCTAATTGCCAAATGCCTAAATCTCCCCTGCTGTCATAAAACCAGAATCACTTTACTCGGGGACTGTTGAAAGGCTAGATAAAGTTATCAAGAAATGGTGTTCTAACAACTCAACATGTCAGAAAGTAAACTCTTGCTTTCTTCCATCCACTCCCCATCTCTGCCTAAATCTCTACCTATAGCTTTCCCCATCTGAGATGATGGTAAATCCATTCTCTCATTCAGTTGCTCAAGTGAAAATTTTTAGAATCATCCATGGTTCTCTCTTCTCTCATATCACTCTTTCTGGAAATTCTGTTGGCATTACTTCCAAAACATATCCAGAATTTGATCATTTCCTATCACTTCCACTACTGGACCCCAAGGTCAGTTTGAACCCCAAGGTCAGCTGAACCTCAGAAACCCTATACAGGGTCTCTATGGAAGTGAACAACAACAATCACTACTTTGGATGAAGTCCTCACTATCTCTCAACTGACAACTGCCATAACCTTCTAACATTTCCCAGTAAGAAACCTTAAGTATCTGCAAAAAAAAAAAAAAAAAAATCTGTACAGTTTCCAATTCATTCAGAATAGAAGATGGAGTCCTGGTGTGGCGCTGTGGGTTAATGCGCTGGACTGCGAGGTCGTTTGAACCAGAAGTTCAGCGGTTCAAGCTCACCAGCCACTCCCTGGAAATCATATATAGGGTCAGCATGAGTCAGAACTAATTTGATGGCACTTAACAACTAAACAAGAAAATAAAATTCTTTCATTGTTCTACAAGTCATACATAGTCCCTCCCACCTGTCCCTCTAAAGTTTCTGACCTCCTCCCCTAGTACTCTCTTTCAAGTCCACCATGCCAGCCACCCAGGTTCCCTACTTTTTCTCTGCATATAGGGTCTTTTGTCTAGGTAGTCCCTATAGCTGGCACTCTCTCCCCTCATGTATTAGCTTGGCTAACTCTTTCACATCCTTCAAGTTTTAACTTAAATCTAACCTTTACATGGAAGCCTACCTTGACCATCCTATTTAATAACACAATCTGCACATCTAATCCAGAACTCAGAATGCCTACTTCTGCTCTACCTTTGATTTTCCATAGCATATTACTATCTTCTAGCATTTGAGAAGAACAGCAAGTTTGGTGGTTCAAACCCACAAGCCTATCCTTGAAAATCCTATCCAATAGGATCCTTATGAGTCAGAGTCAATTCAACAGCACTTAACAACAGCAACAACAATATATACTCAAGGAGACTTGGTGGCACTGTTGGTTCAAACCCATCACCTGCTCCACTGGACAAAAGATGAGGTTGTTTGATGTCATATATTTATAGTCTCAGAAACCCTATATAGGGTCACTATGAGTCAGAACTGACTTGATGGGAGTAGGAATATATTCTTAGCACTTAGATTAACATAGTAAGCACTTAATATATTATTATTTCCAAATGTATAAATCCTGATAGCAATAATCCAACAAAGAAGATAGTTTTGATGATTCAGAAAAAGTGCAAAATTTTCTAAAGCAATATCCTCTTACAGGCAAGAAGGGATGGGATTTACTGGACAAGAAAAGAAAGTGACTCTAGTCAGGAGAACAAACAGTTTAGATATATGAGAGTAAAGAAAACAATTAAATGGTCCAAATACAGTTAGGGTTATAGATGTAGCTAGTAGATGCTATAAATTATTTTCTCATTGCTGATGTGTAGTTTTTTTTTTTTTTTTCTATGAGATCGGGAGCAAAGTAATCAGGTGAGAACAAGGCTGGAAGACAATGCATTGAGGATTTCTATCAGAGAAGAACTGGACTCATCCTCCAGTAGAACAGAAGAGCAAAGTGGCTAGAAAACTATGCTACGACTGCAGAAAAACATTAACAGATAAACTTGAATTCAAAAATCCAGAATTTAAAGTATTATCAGGTACCAAGTATGGAACACTTTGGCAGAACACAACTGGACCTCAGGTTTCTTATTGCTGAGAGTGGGGGACTACCTGACCAAAAGGGGTCTGACGGGCAAAGCCTTAGTAAGCAGCATGTAACCTATCATGGCCAAGTGGTGAGACCAGTAGAAACCCTTGGCAGACAGTGGCTCAATGGGACTTCCTGGATGGTGCATTGCTGCTGGAAGGATAAATGTAGTTCCTGGAGATATGGTAGCTCTGCACCAACACCTCCCAAGACCGTACTCCATAAGCTTGTATGCATTTTCTGCTCAATTAAAGATAGAAATTACCCTACAGTTTGAGAGTCATTCCAACCAGGGCTTCAAAACAGTTCATTCTGGTTTTAACCCATACTGATAATGTCCATTTCCAATCTAGAAACACTGAATCAGAACTTACATTTTGATAGTATTCTCAGGCGAATCTTTAGTACACATAAGAATCACTTGGGAATCTGTGAAAATGTAGATTCCAATTCAGTATACCATAGGTGGAAACGCAAATCCTTAGCAGGGCATAGAGCCACAATGAATTATTTCAAACCCCTGGTTCCAACAGATTCTTGGACATAAGAAAGAGGAAGGTCTAGTATTCACTGACTGAGTCCCAGATGAATTGAGATGAGACAAATAAAGGCTATGTGGAGCAATTGGCCTCTGAACTGACAACTGAAGAAAGATCATGAGCACCAAGGACAAGAACAGGGTGGGGATACTATAGGATTTACCTACCATGCAATTTGACTTCAGAGCAAAAATCTCAGCCTTCCTGAAGATGTGTGATAACAATTGGTATAGCTGGCAGGATTAGATACAACACTGACAGCACACTAGGGAACTTAGTCATGCATTTTTGTACATTTAGCTGCATGGGGACAGGTGGGGAATACAAATAGCACTGATTTACCCAAAACTGTAATTTAACCAAGCAAATTTCACAAAGCAAAAAAAAAAGTGGGGAGATGGTTTCCCTTACATACCATTATAAAATAGACAATTGAGAGGGAGAGAAAGGAATAGACAGAAATATCAACATAGAAAGTTTGTAAGTCCAACTTCTACCTATAACTGATTGGAATACCTAAAATGGGGCTACAACATGCCGAGTGAAGGCTTCCTGTGGAGCCTCTGCATTACATAAGACCATAGGTGGAATCCTGAATAGCACCCAGAATCTTCTGAGATGGGAAATTTCCACTGGAAATGATAAACAGACCAGCCTGGAGTAGCTAGAAGAACAGAAGATACTTCTTGAAAGAAAGACTATCAGGAAAAATACAAAACAATAACAACAGTTCAACTGACTACTACAAGAACAAGCAAGTTGCCCGCCCAGGAGACATGAAGGCAAGTGGCCGGGTCCCCTCAGGGCAAACCCCATTCCAAGACTAAAACTCAAGGGGAATACACAAGCAGATACATTCTCTGACTGGTGACCACATTATTCACCAATAAAGGGAAGTGAGGGGAAAACAGGAATGAAGCTGCGAGCTAAGTCCAACCACATTTCAATAGACTCCTGTGAACTCAGGTGGAGACCTGGTTGGCCAGCAGTTTGGTAAGACCTGGGGACTCCTGGGTCCAGAGTCAGTGACATAGTCACAGAGGACTACAAGAGAGAATGAAGCATCCAGCTGATAAGAGAGGGCATATGCACAAGAATACCCACACTTGCAGATAATCCCCACTTGACCTGGCTTCAATGGCTGGATGATCAGAACACAACTAGAAGAAGAAAGAGGA